TAGTTTCAATGGCAAAACTAGCTAAGTGGATTCAAGTGTAATAACAAAAACGTACTTTAGATTGCATACAACAGTCACAAATGTCTCATTCTTTTCTTTTTCTTTAGATTCTAAAATGGAGTGTCTTCGTTTGACAATGACCGAAGTGTTGAAGAGACAAAACTCTAAATCAAAGAAAGGCTACAATCAGGTGAGCAGGAAGGATGTATAGGAGAAAGCTGAGCTGTGGTTTAAACAGCACGAAACAAACGTAGCGTAAACACCTACAGTTGCTTCTCGTGTGGTTTTTGCAGAAATTTTAGCAGGCGACAAACATTTTTTTTTTGTTTTTGTATTTTTTTTTTCTTACCAAGAGCAACATTATAGTTGTTTGTTTACCAGTTTCTATAGCACATTTCATGTTTTTACACCTTTGAGATTTTTGGTGTCAGTTGTACTTTCATTTTAGTGTCAGTGGTTACTTTTGGGTTCAGTTACACCACACGCTGACTGTATCTCCTCTTGTTTCCTATTATTTGGAAAGAGAAGATGATGCAAATGTTTGAATTAAATTACTGTAATGCTGTTTTATCCTTCTGTAGATTTAGCAAACTACAGGGGTTTTCTAAACTCAATCCTGGAGGGCCGGTGTCCTGGGTAATTTAGCCCCAACTTCAATCAAACACACCTGAACCAGCTATTTAAGCTCTTACTAAATATACTGGAAACTTCCTGGCAGGTGTGTTGAAGCAAGTTAGAGCTAAACTCAGCAGGGCATCGGCCCTCCAGGAATGAGTTTGGACACCCCTAGCATATTAGATGGCACATTAAGCACATTTATTTTGACAAATACAAACATTACTTGAGAAGCTGCACTTTTATTGCTTTATTGAATTATCATTGTTTTGCTTTACAGCAACTGACTACCACAGAGGTAAAAGTGGATAAGGTTCAGGTTAGTGGAACTTGCAACACCACCTTCGCAGTTTGTCTGGACCAAGATGAGAAGAAAATTTTACAGAGTGTGATGAGGTAAAGCTTGTTTTTAATTTTCTTTTTGTATCTTGTATTTTGGATGAAAAGGAAATATATATATATATTTTTTTTCTGCATCTGTGACCCAATGTGGTTTAGTTAAGTAGCACCATACTATACGATATGTTACGAAAAAATAAATAGAAATGAACAAATGAAGAATAAGGGAGAGTGCTGCCTCCAGACCCAGAATTATCAGACAACACATTGTTGATCAAATTTGTTATCATCATCAGGTAATCATTTATGTTTATTTTTTAATCCGAAAAATAAAAATAAATAAACGAATTAATAAATAAATATATATATATATATATATATATATATATATATATATATATATATATATATTTATATATATATATATGGAATGGTTCTTTTGTTAAAGTTGACCAGTGACTTAAAGATTTACTTATCTGTTGGAATTTAATTAAAATCTAGTATGTATCAATACAAGAGGGGAAGGAAAATTCAGGAACGAGAGCTAAACCAAAGTCTATCCTGGGCCTTTTTCTTCAGATTGCAGAGTTTGTGTTGTTTTATTACAGGGCACATTTTAATTCTGAGTAAAATCCATCCCTCCAAACTGAAAAAGCATACTTATTCTGACCTTTACTTGTTAAATTATGTAAAAGAATATGATTATACTACTACGATTATACTAATACGATTCTACTACATTTCTTGTGCATTAGTTGTTAATTTTTGTTCAAAATATGCATAAGAATATTTTAACACTTCATGACATTACAGTGGGTATCTTCTTTGAATATTTAAAATTTTAAGATTAATTATTATTATTAATTCATTCATTAGCTTTCCGGCTTAGTCCCTTTAGTAATCAGAAGGTCACCACAGCGGAATGAAACGCCAGCTCATCCAGCAAATGTTTTACGTAGAGGATGCCCTTCTAGCCACAGCCCAACACTAGGATTATTCATTCATTCATTTTCTTTTCGGCTTATTCCCTTTATTATTCTGGGGTTGATACAGTGGAATGAACCACCAACTTATCCCGCACGTTTTTACGCAGCGGATACCCTTCCAGCCACCACCCATCTCTGGGAAACATCCACATACACTTATTCACACTCATACACTATAGACAATTTAGCATGTCTTTAGACTGCGGGGAAAACCGGAGCACCCGGAGGAAACCCACGAGAAAGCAGGGAGAACATGCAAACTCCACACAGAAACGCCAACTGACCTAGCCGAAGCTCGAACCAGCGACCTTCTTGCTGTGAGGCGACAGCACTGCCTACTACGCCACTGCGTCGCCTGAACCAACTATTCCAGAATATGTTTTACGCAGCAGATGCCCTTCCAGCCTCAACCCAGTACAGGGAATCACCCATACATCTTGCGCAAACACACAAGCTCATCTACGCCTCACTAAGTTTATTATTATTATTATTATTATTATTATTATTATTATTATTATTATTATTATTATTATGGAAAGTTAAAATTGAACAAGAAACAAAAAGGATATTTTATCCAATATAAATAAATAAATAGATAGATAGATAGATAGACAGACAGACAGACAGACAGACAGACAGACAGACAAACTGTTTATTAATACCATTGTCATAGAGCACTTTAACAGTGGCCCAAACAATCTGTTTCATGCTCTGCAGGTGTGAGGTGTCAGTGTGTTATAAGCCGGACAGTTCAACTGACTGGACGAGAGGAAGAGTGTTTTCATCACAGACGCAGCTTCTTCAGCCCACATTCTGCTCTCTGCTGTGTCTCCCTGTGGCCACTTTTAGCGGACCTCAACCCTGAACCTCCAGCCTGACAGAAGCCTCAAGTCTGGTTTAAAGGCCCATCACAATCAGCTTTCCACTTTTGATAACATTCTGCACAAGGATGATGGATGAAAATATGGATATTTTGTCATCACAATTTTTGGATTATTGGACCAGAAGTAACTCTTTTGCCTACTGTTCGGTACACCTACTGAATATAATCTGGTGGATACACGTTTGTTGACTTTTGAATAACATCAGGTTATGAGTCATCCTTGAAAGTTTTGGTACTTCTGAATGGGATGTTAATACAGGATTGATTTGTAACTGGGGCTGTTATGCATCCAACTGTAACCAGAATACTTATTAATGCACATATTACCCAGCATCTGAATAAGCACAATTAAATAGATTGTTTGTGTATATGATGTAATTATTTTATGTAGCTTTAATCAAAATTCTCAGGAAATACATGTAATGTTTTGCAATATTTTTTATTATTTAAACTTGTTTCTGTCATGGATTCAGTTGTGGATCCTAAAAAATTAGAGATTATTATTGTATATATAGTTGTATGTCTTTTTTCCCTTGACTTTATATCATTCTGAATCTTGCCTTTCTCAATACCTCTTGTTGTAGTTGGACTGGTTGGCCAACAGAGGGCCTCCTTAACCAGTCGTAGAGCTGGCAGTATAAAAAAAATACAAGACCGCTCCGTCAGTACACTGTAATACAGGTGCAGTTTGTATGTGAAACAAACTGAAACCTTTCTTTCTTTCTTTCCTTTTTTCTTTCCTTCTTTTTTTCTTTCTTTCTTTCTTTCTTTCTTTCTTTCAAAATATATGTGCGTGTCATTTCTTTAAAATGATCAGAATAACTGTCAAAAGCAATCATTTTCCTTTCTGATTGTTTAATAAACACTTAAAACTGTATATTTTAGTAAAAGATATGTACATATGTAGGTGTTTTTAATAAAAAAAAAAATAACATTTGAGCAAATCGAGAGGATTTCTCTAGCTGGCAGTCCAGACTGTTGTTGTTGTCATTTTTTATAGAAACATTCCACGTATCCTTTTACTACATTTTGTTGTGACAACATTTTAGAAAGTGTGTTGTAGGTACAGATCTGCGCTACTAAAATGTTATTCATGACTGTTCAAAATTAACAACTATCAACAAAATGCCTTATTGTTGTTGTTGTTTTGTGATTCTGTCATCATGGAGAATTAAATGGTACTTTTAATGTGACTTCATTCATATTCATAAGGTGCAGTCTTTGTCTTTATCTATTTGTATATTGTAACACGTCAAATTAAATAAAATCACTTTCAACATATTCACAGTATGGTTGCATAATGAGTGTTATTAGATGAGTATTAGCAGATGTAAATACACATTTCACTTTTTTTATCTTATTCTATTTTTTTAGACCTTTCACAAAGACTTTAAATGTTTGCTTTCGGTTCTTTCACTGTCCTACAGGTTAGAGGCATTCTTATGATCAAATGTCAGGTTAATATCTAAACAATGACGTCTCTGTCTGCTAAATCAACAAATCTAGCATGTTCCTTGAAAAGGCCTGTTTTGCTTGGGGTGTTTACAGTTTGAACTGTTAGCCTGTTCAAGATATTATCGAAGAACGTGAAAAAATGTCACAAGATAACTGTGGCTATTAAAAAAGCCACTGAGGGAAATCATCGGCACATATTGGATTATGCCAGTTATGATCAAGTTCTACTAGGGATAAATAGTCACTTTGTCAATAAGAAATATAAGAAATATATTAAGTATAAAAACCTAATAAATAAGAAATATTTCTAACAAGTTTAGATCTGAATGCCACCTTTATTTATAGTAACAAGCTTGTTTATTGACATTTCTTAAATGTTTGAGACTTGTGAATGTGTGATGTGCAGAGACATTTTATTACATATCAGGATTGTAAAATACATTTATGGAATCTTGCTTCTGCCGTTGAACAAAATAAGAAAAATAAAATCTATTGGGACTTGCCTATTTTCAGGATTCTGTTTGATTTTGGATTGTGTAATTAATTTCATTTTAAAAAACTTTTCCTTAATTTTGTGAACATATTTAAGACAAGCTATCAGTCCACTCATGAGGAGTGTTTCTGCAGATGTCATTGTTCTGCCCATTATAAAATAGTTTTGCGAAATACTAATATTCAGTAAAGAAACACCATACACAGCTTGAAATGGCATGATGCAACGTGAGAATATAACAACAAAATATAATGAACTAAAAAATAATAGATTATTAGAATTACAATTACTTGTGTTTTACTTTATTCAGTGATTTGGTGGTTAGTGTGGTTGCCTCACAGACAGAGAGCTGGTTTGAATACCAGTTTAGCCAAGTTCCCTGTCTGTGTGTGTAGAGTTTGCTCTGCTTGTGTTTCTTGTATTAAATTATTTGTTTGTTCTCTGTTTCGTTGGATTATACACTTTTTCCCTGCTGAAAAAGAAACAGCATATAATGCTGGTAAGGTTGGTAAACTAGTCACTGGTAAGTTTTGATGCTGGACTATATTGCTGGTTCTTTGCAGGTAACTCTCATGCAGTACTAGAACATAAGTTGGTATTCTTTTTTTTTTGCTCTCATGCATTATTAGTAGGGATGTAACGGTATCAGAATTTCACGGTACGGTAATACCTCGGTATGAATGTCACTGTACGGTATTTATTGAATCATTTACAGGAAAAAACAAAACTTATGAAAATACTCCAAAAAAGTGCCAAAAGTGTCAATGACATACAAATTAGTCATCTATCTGTAAGCTTTGAAACAGGAACTTCAATTTTAATAACAAAAAAATATTAAACCATGTAAAAAAATTAAGTTTTAATTTAGTATTGTTGAAAACTCATCACATTCAACATTTAATCACTCACTCACTTAGATATAGTCAAACGCCTTTGTGTGCTTTTACCCACGTGGGGCGTGGGCGGGGCTGTGACTTGCGCCAGAAATGGCTGCTGGACCAGTTGGCTGCCCGCACTCAACGGACTGTTTTCCATTACCCCTGTTCCCATCCCCTCTGTCTATGTTGTGTCTTGCCGGTGTGCTTATGCTAAGATAGGGCTGTTTTTCTCCCTTTTCTCACTTTGTCCTAATCAAGGGCAAGCTGAGGGGTGTTTTTTAGCCTAACTGTCCAAATGTATCTTTCTTCGTTTCTAAATGCTACCTCCTAAGATCTGTCTCCCCTGAAAAGTTGTTTGTGATGTTTTGTGTATGGTCTGGGGGGTCCAATTTCGCTATACGAAAGTGTAGTGACAAATAAAGGCTTGATTGATTGATTGATTGATTGATTGATATAGATGGGTTTAAAGGAAAATTATCATATAAATATAATCTGGTAAAAACTGGTATCTCTGGATATTTACAATGTCCCCTGCAATAGAAAAAAACCCTCTCATTTGGGACTGAGGTTTCTTGGACAAGAGAGATATGACTTGGCCCAGGTTGACAGCAGTGGGTAACGTTGTGCATTGTCTTTCCCCAACTTAAGAGGACAAACCATGAGTGAGATAGAGATCTCATGTCTGCATCAATCTGAACAGTGTGCTGTGTTTCTGCAGTCCCCATGACTGATTATTAGTTGTATTCCCCAACTTGCAGGCACGTGCACACACAGGGCTCAACCTGTGCAGTGCACATGCCCTTTTTAGTCTTGGATAGAAAGTGCCCTTCCAAAATGATCAAAAGTGCCCCCGCGACGCGACATACCCTCTGTCCCCGCTTTACAGTACGCGCGCGACAACACAGCTGATTAGAACGCGCGCGACAACACAGCTGATAAGAACTCGCGCGACAACACCGCTATTCAGTACGCGCGCGACAACACAGCTGATAAGAACTCGCGCAACAACACCGCTATTCAGTACGCGCGCGGCGACAACACCCGCTTTAGGGTTTTCCAGCGCTTTTTCATCCCCGCTTCTAGCAGCACACTCCATTTCCGCATTACTGGATCTGTAGCGACAACAGACCGCAAGGGATTATGGCCAAGCCTGGGCTGTTGGGAATTGTAGTTTCCGGTACCTCCCGTTCCATTCATTCGCCTGAGCAAATTTTCTCAGAAGACCTATAGTTTTACCGAGTCATGCAACTACGGTAATATCGAAAAAAATTTATATTGCGGTATGACGGTATTTACAATAACGTTACATCCCTAATTATTAGCACTGAAAAAAATGCTTCTATGAATGAATTTATTTATTTTTCTTTTTATTTACAATAACGTAAAAACTGAAAAATCAATATTTAAAAATCAGATGTCACTTCATTAGACCCTTGTGTAAATGTTAGTCTGAATGCCTTAATGTTGGAATGATTTACAGTAAGTTCTTAAAAAAAAAAAAACTATGTATAAGAACCAAATAAAAATTTATTTCTGATTTCAACGATTCATGATTATGTCCACCAATGCTGCAAACCAGCCATATTGCTGCCACAAAGAAACCTGAAAAAGAGCAGTTACTAAAGACACAAATTCACTGGTTATTCAAATGTGATTTATTCATGTTATGATAAAAATGGTTTAAAAAGTACAATATAACGTAGGAAAAGTATTTAGAATCCCTTCAAATGTTCACTCTTTGTTATATTGAAGCTATTTGCTAAAAACTTTTACGTTATTTTTTTCTAATTAATATACACACATTACACCATATTGACAAAAAAACAACAAATTGTTGACATTTTTGCAGATTTATCAAAAAAGGAAAAATGAAATATCACATGGTCTTAAGTATTCAGACCCCTTACTCAGTATTTAGTAGAAGCACATTTCTGATCTAAATACACCATAAGTCTTTTGGGGAAAGATTTGGGCATCCTCTGCTATTCCTCCTTGCAAATAATCTCTAGTTCTGTCAGGTTGGATAATAATTGTTGGTGGACAGCCATTTTTAGGTCTCTTCAGAGATGCTTAAATGGGTTAAAGTCAGGGCTGTTGCTGGGCCTCTTAAGAACAGACACGGAGTTGTTGTGAAGTCACTCTTTCCTTATTTTAACTGGATCACTGTCTGGTATGGGAACTGCAGTGCTGCAGTTGCTGAAGTGGACAGTCCCTTCAGCAGACAGTGAATACAGCTGAGAAGATCATCATCCATAGTATGTAATGGAATGAAAACTACACTTAACTTGACAATATATTATGTTAGTTAAAAATAATAATATAAATAAGAATGAAAAACATTCAATTTTATTTATTTATTATCACAGTTGTTATTGGTTAAGTGTATGTTGTACTCAAAGGAATTGGGGTACAACAGCAACCCTTCATCAATGCTAAGGTATTATGTGTCTTGCTTGAGACTAGGAAGGAAATGGATGTGCGCCCTTTCAAGGTGTGTGATTACACATATTTATAAAATACCATAATATATTTTTGCCAATTATGCAAATAAAAAATATACTGCATGTTATACACCTTTTTCTAGCTACTAGAAAACAAGAGCTAGATAAATCCCTGGTAACAGCAGTTTTGTATTGAAGGTTATGGGATTTAGGAAGTTTGTTCATAAACTGGACCCAACCTATGTTCCCCTTCGATTGGGGAACTTCAGTGCCATAGAGTGGATTGATTGAAATCCACGAATGGGAGGATTCGGTTCAGAAGCCGCTTGTCTGAAAGAGTATTGAACGGGCCAATGAATGCAATGAATTGGCAGCGTAAGCTTGCACAGGTGTACTTCATTGCCAATTATCCCAGCATATAAGCACACCTGGAGCGAGCAAACGCCATCCTTTTCGCTTCAGAGACTTTCTGATCGAGTCGATGAGGGTTCCTCCTGCTGTGACCAGCGATTCTGAGCGAACGAGAGCATTCTCCCGGTCCAGAGTGTGTACACGCAGCGGCAGACGGTCGAGCTGGGTTTCTCCCTTGCCTGGCGTTCTTTGGGTCCGGTCCTCCAGAGCGGTGCGTATAAAGTTGCAAACTTCACAGAAAGAGCAACATAGTCGTGTAGCACGTCCTTTTCAGGACGGCGCTCCGACTGTGCGTTTCTGGATGCGGTGGTTTCCTGTCCTCGAATGATGGGCACGGGCACTGCGTTACATGTCTGGGGGGTCCAGCATGTTAATGCACTGCTTGGGGGCAGTTCATGTCGTCATTGCGATGCCATGACTGTTGCGCAGTAAAGATCACGACTAGCCTTTGCAAAAGGGCGAACCACCCCAGTTGTCCCCTGCTCTGCAGCGGGCACTCGGGCAGATCTGAGGGTTTCAGCGAGAGATAATCCGTAGCCCACGGGCCCGCGGACCTCCCGCTCCTCTAAGCGCTTCATCCAAGCTTCGGGCGGGGGAAGCGATCCGTC